TCCACGGGGGAAGCCATATCACCAAGGGAGTGGCGAGCAGGACTGAGGCTCCACTATCTTGCCTGCAAACACGCCAGGTAACTAGTCCCCCTGCCCCAAACCCTTTGCCCTCCTCCCTGCCTTTGGCCACAGCACCGGAGGAGAGAAAGAGGCTGATCTCAGCTATGTGATACTGCTGGGGGTAGGGGTGGGGAAAGAAAACACCTCTGGGGACCAGGATGGGGGTGCTGGAGGAATAGAAAATGCCCTGGGCAGGCAGGGGAAGGAAGGGGAACAGAAAATGCCCCCAGCGGCCAGAGGAGCACTCTGGGGGAGAGAACAGGCCCCTGAATGGTTAACCATATTTGATAAGCATCACCCTTACTGGTTCATGCTTACTGGTTACCGTTAATCAGTGGGCTGGAGCAGTTCCCCGCCTGCCATGGGTAGGTGACTGTTACAGCTATGAGGCACCTTCCACAGTGCAGGCAGGGGCGCTCCAGCCCAGCCAGAGCAGCCTCTGTCCACAATGAGCCCAGCCTCACCAGAGCAGCCCCTGGCCATGGTGGGGTTGGCCTGGCTGGAGCAGTCCCCCAACCTGTGGCCAGGAAGGGAGCTCCAGCCCAGGCCCCATTTAATCTGTTAAGCAATTAATCAGAACATTTCAATGCTAAACTGATTAACCAGGATATTATGTCCCTATTGTAAAGCTCTTCTCTCAGTAGTTGCATAGGTGCCAGACTCAGAGGGTTATGGCTCAGCTACCTTTTGACCTGCCACTGTCCAGCTTGGGACAGGTGATCCAGTGGCACCATGGCCAGTTTATCACAGGGGAGACCTTCACCTGTACATTGTAGTGAAAGCCAATGGCAGCAGAATGGGGGAAGAAGGGGGGATTGGCTAGGGGAGGAAGCTGAATCAGTCCTATGGGATAGGAACCATTTCAGACTGAGTTCAAGGTGGGCTTCCTCTTCAATCAACAATTCCTAAAGGCCTCATATCCCCCAGAGACTGGACCTGAACCTTCCTACCAGCATGGCCCCCCAATTTTAAATGTTACACTTCAGGCTATGTACGTGCTTGAATTAACTATTTTGAATTTTAAAAAAGAGGGGAAAAAACCCTTCCAGAGCCAAGGGTATCTTAATTATATTTTTTTTTAAATGTGAGCTGGCTGATTCTATAAAATTTTAGAATGTAGAAACTACTAGTCAAAAATACCAGTTTTAAAATCTGATGTCAGTGTTCATGGGTACACTGGTATGTCCTGCCAACTAAATGAGCCTATCTCTGTGATAAATGGCCCCTTATACCAAGAATCAGAAATATTTAGGTTACTCCTGATAGCCAAAGGATTAGTCACATCAGGTCAATTGCATTTTGGGTCTCACACCAATAACAATGCTTGTAGCCAATTCTATAGTAAACTCTATGAAGATTTATTAAATAGGAAAAGGAAATTAGAGACTTATGTACAAAGTTAAATCAAGTGAACAGACATATGAATACGTTAGAAACAGAAAGGAGCATAAGCTTCGGCAAGTCCAGTGTAAGAGAATAACTTGGCAGGCCAAAAAAGCATTTGAAGAGAAACTAGCAAAAGACATGAAAGCTAATAGCAAAAGAATTTTTAAAGAATTTCAGAAGCAGGAAGCCAATCATGGAGGTCACTGTTATCGAGATGCTAAGGGAGCATTCAAAGAAGCTATCCCATATTGAGGTGTCAGTATAAGAGGTTTATGGAAAAAAACTTGATAAAATAAATAGTGATAGGTCACCAATACTAGATAATATTCACCCACAAGTTCTAAGGGAACCCGATTTATGAAACTGCAGAACTAGTGACTGTCGTATGTAAACTATTGCTTAAATAAGTCTCAGAACCAGATGGAACAAAGCTGATGTAATACTGATTTTTTAAAAAAGGCTCAAGGCAATCCTGGCAATTATAGGCTGGTAAGCTTTACTTCAGTACTAGGCAAATTGGTTGAAACTATAATAAAGAACAGAATTATTCAACACATGATATATTGGGGGAAGAGTCAATACAGCTTTGTAAAAGAGAAATTATGCCTATCAGAGTTCTTTGAAGGAGTCAACAAGCACATGGACAAGGGCAATCCAGGGGGTATAGTGTTTTTGGACTTTCATAAAGCCTTTGAAAAGTTCCCTTACCAATTCTCTGAAGCAAACTAAGCAGTCATGGGATGAGAGGGAAGGTACTCAGTCCTGCCACTGAGCTTCTGTACAACCATGGATAAGCCATACCTGTTCGGGCTTGTCGATTAATATTATAATCACCTCAGGACAAGAACTGTCTTTTAGTGTGTCTGGATAGTCCTTAATCTTGTTTGGCCCTTCAGGTGTTATTTTAATATGGGTTGTTGACCTTCTCAAGTCCAGTACCCTCAGAACCTGACTGGTGCTGAATCAGAGAATTTACTGGACCACGGGAGGTCAATATTGTCTAGCAGCATTACCAACATTTCCATTGTTTACTTGGCTCTTAGCTCTAATTTATGCCAAATGTCTTTTAAATAACAGCACAGAACATGGAGAGCCTGGACTGGTGGCTGTAAACAAACTTTATGGGATGTTAAGAAACTTGACCACATCCATGGAATGTGGACATTTGGCTAACTAAAATCATGCTGGACCATAGATGTTGCTGGACCAGAGAGGTTCAACCTGTACAAATAATCAATAATGATAATACAGATATACTGTTGAGTCTTTATACTACTCTTTGGTTGGTGCATTTGAATCTGATGTACCAAATGTACATGCATTACGTTTAAGGGAAAACGTCACCTTTTTATTCTATAAATTTGACGTGAACATAACTGTCCCAGGAGACTACTTACATTTAGGGTAAGTGAAGTTAGATTTGACTCTTGAAATAACTGAAGTAAAAAGCAAAAAATTCTAAGGAAAGAAATATATTATAGCTATTTTATTAAATTGTTATGTGGAAAATCCACTGGAAGCATGACATATTGTAAGAAATGGTTGGATAGGTAGCAAATGAAATTCATCCATTTGCTAATATACGCATAGTTTATATGCAACTTACACTTACAGGATGTGTCTAGACTGGCAAGTTTTTCCGCTAAATCATCTGATTTTGCGGAAAAACTTGCCAGCTGTCTACACTGGCCGCTTGAATTTCCGGAAAAGCACTGACGATCTCATGTAAGATCATCAGTGCTTTTCCGGAAATACTTTGCTGCTCCCATCTGGGCAAAAGTCTTTTTCCAAAAGACTTTTGCGCAAAAGAGCCAGTGTAAACAGCACAGTAGTGTTTTCCGCAAAAAAGCCCCAATCGCGAAAATGGCGATCGGGGCTTTTTTGCGGAAAACCGCATCTAGATTGGCCACGGACACTTTTCCGCAAAAAGTGCTTTTGCGGAAAAGCATCCTGCCAATCTAGACATGCTTTTCCGAAAATGCTTTTAACGGAAAACTTTTCCGTTAAAAGCATTTTTGGAAAATCATGCCAGTGTAGATGTAGCCACATAGTTTAACTAACTTAACTAGATTTGACTATTCTTTGTGGAATGAGCAACATAAGATAGGACTATTAATAGGATGTAAGCACTATGCCAAAAGATTAAAGCAAAAGGTCTAGTGAAAAGGAGAGCTGAGAAGTCTCTAAAGACACTGAAGTGTAGTTAGAAAAGATTAGTAGATTGCAAGTCCAGAAAGGAATTGTCAGTGACTAGGAGATGGGCAGTTGTGTTAAGTGGCTGCAACAGGAGACTGAGCTGGGATCGGTAGGCAGAGACCAGGGTTATAACTGCAGTCAAAGATTCTAGGACAGGAGTTGGGAACCTTTTTTGGGTTGGGGGTCACTGACCCACAGAAAAATCAGTCAGGGGCCTCACACAAGTGAGAACCAAAACCAACCAACCAAACCCTTGCTAACGTGGCCCTCAACTGAGAAGGAGAAAGACACTCCTCACATTCCCCTCACACACTAGAGCCTAGGGGGACCCAGCCTAGTAGATTTTGTGTTCTCCAAGCTGTAGTGGAGGACTGGAGTGCCTGTATGGGCTTCCCAATGTTGCAGGGAGGGCTGAGCTTCTGGGGCTGGATCCAGACAAGCTGGGGGCTGCACCCCATCCAGGGCCTTAGGTTTCCCACCCCTGTTCTAGCAGAATTGGTTTACCTGAAGGGAGACAAGGAAGGAACTGTCACAGCCAGGACCAAATGCTTTGAAACACTGCTCAGCTGCTGTGGAGCTTAAGAACTGGTCTGGCAGCCAGTCAAGCAGTATAGTTAATCAGAGAGCTTTCTGCAGGCCAGCTACCCTTATTAGGCTGTCTGTAGATTGACTCCGCTGCAGACCCTGCTTTCTGACAGGGTCATTTTCATTATCTACTCTGACCTTTTGTATAACACAAGCTATAGAAAATAACTCCTAGAGCAGATCTTTTTTAAAAACATTCAATCTTGATTTAAAAATTGTCAGTGATAAAGACTCCACCATAACACTTGGTAAATTCTCTCAGCGGTGAATTTAACTCACTGCTAAAATTTTACACCTTATTTTCAGTCTGAATTTGTCTAGCGTCAGCTTCCAGCCACTGGATCATGATACACCTTTCTCTGCTAAATTGAAGAGCCCATTATTATATATTCCCTTAACCTGTAGACAGTAATAATGTTATTCCTTAACTTTCTCTTTATTAAACAAACTTGAAGATTTCCCCAATGTTGCTCAGGTCTTTAACTCAAATAAGTTTTGTATTTCTTCATTTAAATCATTGCTCTGGGACTAGAGGGGCTGGGGATGAGGTTCTTCAGTATACAGGCTGGGAAGCGGGCAGCACGGTATCCTGGGCACCTCATGGCCCCTGTGAGACATGGCCTGCTGTGCAGGCCGCACATGGCCTTGTTCCTGGGACAGCCCCCTCCTCTGGCCTGAGGACTGTTGGTCACTGTTCACAGTGGAGGGCATGGCCTCAGGGACAGTATCTGCCTGGATGACTAACCAACTCTCCCTCTTCGTGTTCTCCACAGCCGGGACTGAGGGGTGAGCCATGGCACCAGAGCCAGCCGCCAGAGCTCAGGGGACCTGAAGACACACCAAGATCCAGGAAGACCTCATGCGCCAGAAATGTCAGCATCCTGTGCAACATGCGGCAAACCCTGGCACAGAAGATACGCGATAATGCTGAGGAACCATACTTGGGACCAGGTCATGCAGCAGTGTGAAAATGTGTACATGATGGCATCCCTGCCTGCTGCCGCTGCTCCTTGCTTCCATCCTCCT